ACATTTATTCCTGACCTTTGAAAGAAGCAAATGCAGCATTTCTGTAACTGTGTCTTTGCTGACTTGAGCGTTGTCAGTGAAGGCAATGCGTAGTCATTTTCATGGGATTTGCAGTTCTGTGCACCCGTTCCACTCACAGGTATCATCTGTATTGGGTGCAAGAAGTACAAAACTCTTCTGGCAAAATGGCCTGGGAGTAACTTTTGCTAGAGAAAATGCAATTTTTCAAGCTGATTTTCATTTATGAAGAATCAACATTAAGCCTACTAATTCCTTTTGAGATAAACATGTGGTTCGAAAGCCACATACAACAGACGGCTTGTACCTGGGGATTAAAAGGATGTAGCACTCCGTGTGCCAACACAAAATGCTGCCAGGCTTGTTGCACAGCATCAGCATTGTACCTGATGTCCATTTCTTGCAAGCCATATGTGGTTTGCATGGCATAACTTGCCATGCCTGATATGTGGTCAGATGTTTATGAAAATACAGTGGAATTCTGTTTCCTAATAAACATAAAAATAATTGGAGTGTAATCCAGAATTTTGCTGTATATAGTGGGTTCAAAAAACTTTGTAGTAAAACATTGATGAGTCCTGCCTTTAAACCCTCCGTGAAGCTAGGATTTGGTACAGAATGCTGTTGACTTTTGAGAGACTAAGTTGAGTTTTGTGTCCTATACGTAAGAAAAATTTGATTAGGGTTTATTGATAAAAGAATCTTTAATGATATGGGAGCATACTTATTTCCCTTACAAAATAATATAACTTCCCTGTTTTAGATCCTTGCATTATTACCCCAGAAATTTCAATAATGAGAATTCAATACAGTAACACTTTGTATATTTTAAAATGCATTTTTTCGTCTATTTTAATTTGGCCATGGAGTTTTCTTCCATTAGTTGTGTTTTTATCTTCAACAGAAGTATTTGGGCTGTATAAAAAGGGAAGTACTTTGCCTGTGTTACTGTCCTTACTGGTATATTGCCAATACAGACAAAACCTGAAAAAATGTGAGTAGAAGTGAATCTGTTAATAGCTTAGAGAGTTGCAGAGTGAATTAGAGGCCCTCTGGACTCATAATTTAGAAAAAAGACACATCATGTGTAGGTTTGGCTTGGAAGTTTCTTGCCTTTTATAAAGTATTGATAGTTTCCAAAAGACAATTATGTCTAATGCTGTAACTGCTTTTAACATATCCTTGCAGTCCATGAGAAAAGACAAAAGTTTAATAGCTGGTTGAGTTGGGTTTGTAAGTTGGGTTCTGTTCCAATCTTTGTCATATACTTCCTTTGCCCTGGGCACGTCACTCCAGTCTGCCTTTGGGCTATTCTAGTAGCAACTTGTTTTAGGGTCCTTTTCAGTATTTCCATCTGCAGCCTTACCGAGTGGCACATATATTTCTACATTCTTTAAAGACACGTGCTCTTCAGTTGTCATTGCATGATCATTTAGATTTTATTTGGTAGGAGTTAAAGCAAGAAGTAGTTTTTTTTATTATGGAGACAAGGTTCAAAATCAAATCCAAACATAAAATGAAAACTTGAATTCTGCAGGAAGAAAGGTAAAGAGGTAGAGAAACATAGAAGTCAGAGAAGATTCAGAATGGAGATAAAATTTTGAAATCACCACATCAAAGTGGGAAAAGGCAGCAGTTTGAGCTCAATACTTAAAAGGAATTTAAGGAAGCGACAAAGTTTTAATAGTCTGACTAGGGTTAAGTACATATCTAAATGCCAAGCTAGTTATTTCTTCTCCTTTCTACCTTTCAAACTTTGGAGCTTTCACCTTGATTTATATATAGGATCATTTTTTTGTCAAAAAGCTTTCTTTTAATTTAGGGCATTAATCCTGCAAGCACTTGCATGTGAACAAATATGTTGACCTCATACAATAAATTATCAATTCCGTTTAGCAGCCAAGTGCACATAAATATTTGAAAAATTAGCAAAATATGACATCTCTATAATAGTGCCTTAACAAAAAATAGTTGATAAAGCAAGAAGACATTTTCTGTTTATAGTGTATTTCTTTAGGTTTGTGGGGGGGTTTTCTGTTGTGTTTTTGTTCTATCTCTCTGCCCTTTGATTTGTTTCGCATGCACTGGGAAACCACTCTGGCCCAGATCCCTTAAGCACTGGGCTAAGAGCAGTAATGGGGTTTCACAGTTGTATCCCCCCCTTTATGTGGCAAAAGCAACAGAATTTTTCCCTCTTCTCCTGCATTCTCTAGTGTGTTGCCCCGTGACTGTAAATATGGGAGCTTTCATGTCATAATAAGGGAATATTTAGAGTTTCCTCTAAAATATTGCAAAATTGAAAGTGGATTAACTCTAGTAATTTACTCTAGTAAGAGTTAATCCTCACTGGGACCCGCGCAGGCATAATCAACTTTTTCCATCCCATTTTTTTTGCCACATAGAGGACAATGGAGAATCAAAGATCAAGAAAAAGGCAGGAGAAAGAGAGATAATAGATTAAGAGGAGCATAAATTGGGGGGTTTACAGAATGAGAGTCCTTTCCACTTTGAAGAAAGAAATTTAAGGTAGGGCAACCACATATTTACAAATAAGAATTGAAGGACTTTGATAACAAGGTGAATAAAGGAGCATATTACCAATTGCTAACAATTACAGCACTCTTAGGATAAGATGGGAGCCCATCATCCAGAAGACAGTACCTGTGTAAAAATCCAGATGGTTTATATCATTATTGGAGAATAAGTAACTTATTGTGCCCATTTCTTGCTGACAGTAATTTTTCACATCCCACTTTCCTGCTCTACTTCTTCCATGTACGCACTCATGTGGGCTATGTTATTTGAATTTCTCTCCATCTTTTCTTTGAGGGCTGTGACAAACTCACATTCAATAATTTTATCAATCCTGTTGGGTTATCTATCAGCTGGCAGTGGTTGGTTTTTTCACCTGGAAAATGGAAAGCAGAACTGAGAGAGAAGTTAATTATGAAACTTTATTCTTTGAACTGATTTGTCTCAATATGGTTATTACAGATGGGACTCAAGGATGTGAACGGCAGATTTATTGTACCTTAATCAATGTAACATGATGACTGGAAAATGTAAGAATCAAACCCATTATGAATGAAACATTTTTGAGCATGCATGCTGAATTGTCCTCTCAAGTAAAATCAAAGAATGCTTTATGAAGGTTCTAGAATGAATGGGTTTACAGTTAATATTGTGATTGTAGAAAGAAGATTATAGATCAGTTTGTTTTTGATGAAGTTGTCATTTGTGACTTTGAAGAGGCAAAGGGAAATATTTTGCATGATCTGGCTTTTGTAGCACAGATTCATTGCAGTTAGAATTGTAACTGCTGTGCAGTGGCTCTATCTCCTGCTCTGTGGGACTGAGCTGGGTTTCACTGCACCTGCGTGCATGTTGCAGTTGTAAGGACAGGAGCTGCAAATATTTTCAGATAAGTATCTAATTCAGCTAGTGACTCTGCCATCTTATTTGGGTTGGCTGATCAACAGACAATTCCATTTTGTTTTTTCCTTTTAAATGTCATTTTTGTTTCTGTGTTTAGAATGGTGATTTTTATTGGGTTGTTTCAAAGACAGAAAAAATGTCTTTTAACCTGCTTTAAAGGACTGAATCTCAGTGCAAATAAAGGTAGTTGTCCAAAGTCACACAGTAGCACTTCTGGCCAGACAGAGCTTCACCAGTGCCTCCCTCCATCTCTCACCTCCTTTCCCACTGCCCCATCTCTCCTCCCTCCTCTTCTTCACCTCTATCCTGATTTTTTTTTTGTTTTCTTTCCTAGCTCTAGAAAGCTTTCATTCTATCTCAAATTCATGGCTACTTTTTCCACTTCCATTTGCATATGTGCCAGCAGGAAGACATCTTTAGGATGGGGAGGTACAAAAGCCCCCTCCTTTTCTGCTTCTGGGAACAGATGGTGATTACTGAGGAGTTGATTGGAAGAATAAAAACCTTTAAGGAATTTCAGTTATTTGATTTCCTCTGTTGCAAAAGAATTTTATTTACATCTGCATCAAGTTCCTGTCATAAACTTCGTTGATTAATCCTATTGAGACAGCCAATACACCTCCTGGCTTTCAACACATTTACACTGCTTTATTGGAGTATAGATAGATGTGATGTATGGATACTAGAAACCATTGGCAGTAGTGCAGGAAGTTTTGTTTGCTCTTTTTATGTGTTTTAAAAATAATACTGTGCTCAGTTAGATGAAGACAATATCTGTAATGGGTTTCTTGAGGCAGATGGTAGATGAGAGAATAAAATGTGTTTAATTTCTAAGAGGAGGAGAAATGAATCAACAGAATGGAAATCACAAGCTTTTCTTTTTCTTTTCAGTATTTTCTATGAAATTCAAATTATAATACATCCTGCCATTTTACGTCTACTGCTCCATATATTCAGGCCATAATGTAAAGTAGTTTAATTGTAAAAATGGACTTTTGGTTGCTGTAACCATTTAGCTGCAGCTTAGGGTTTTAAAGTTAAGATTTTAGTTAAATGCTTTCATTATGTGTGACCTAAAATACTAGATAAAGGCTGCATTTCACTAGACTGTTTAAAGTTTCTGGAATGTTTTGTTTCAAAGAAGAAAGAGATGACATAGCTAAGGCTGAATCGGTGTAATTTCTGGAGAGGAAATGAGTTCTAGTGCGTTTGCAAATGCCACGCTGTGTGAAATGCGTGGGTGAGCAGGAGGCAGATACCTTCAGTGCTACAAAACACAGCATCACAGAACTTGGTGTTTATAAATCTGTTTCCTTTTTCACAGCCTTGGATGACTTTCAGACTCCTTTTCTCACACTTAAGAAAGCTAGACCTTTTGTAGTGATGTTAAGAGGATTGCAGGTTTTCTCCTGTGCATCTTTTATCAGAGACACCCAAGGAGGCTGGAATACATGCTCTGTTCTAGTATTTAGGAGTACTCATGAGAGTCACCTCTCCCCTCCTCTACTTACAGAGCTATGTTTGAACTTTTCTTGCTGGTATTTCAGGACATCCAAGCTGAGATTGATGCCCACAATGACATCTTTAAAAGCATTGATGGAAACAGACAGAAAATGGTGAAAGCCTTGGGAAACTCTGAGGAAGCTGCTCTGCTCCAGCACCGGCTTGATGACATGAACCAGCGCTGGAATGACCTGAAGGCGAAGTCAGCTAACATCAGGTGAGTAATGAAAACATCGAGGTGTGATGGGGCACAGTTCCTTTCTTCTAAGTGGCTTGACAAATATGACCTCAGCATTGAAATGATCTGTCTGTTTCCTTTCATGAAGGACCTCTGAGTGGAAATATAAAAACTTGGTGAACTTTTTCCCCAGGTAGTCTTAGCTACTTGTTTTCTCTTCAGAGCATCACATTTATAACTTGCTGACCTTGTACCAAAATTTCCAGAAAGTGCATTGAGTCTTTCCTTATTGAAAATCAATGGCAGTGTCTGTGAAACAATTTTGCAAATCTGCCATGACTTTGAGGAGAAATCAGGAGTTTGTTCATGGTTTTGTTTTTACAAATTTTTTGGTTTGAGATTACCAAGTTAATAAAACTTGTATCTTAAGTATCTTGATCCATTTAATTGGTTTTGAATTATTAATTCAAATTAATAATTCAGTTGCTGTTATTCAATTGAGAAATTTTTTAAAGTACTTGTTAATCAAGGAATGCATTTTATAGTTTTTTGACCCTATCTGTGCCAAGCTCAAGTGTGATAATTGTTAAATCTTTGTGATGCCACTTTTGAAATAGATACTGTCATATTCATTATTGAATTGAATTCTACATGAAAATTAATTACATAGAGAATAATTTCTAGAGCTTTTAATTGCAAGCACTTCCTTGTTGGTTTGAGAAAACTGTTCTTTTAAAACAATGTTAAACATTCATATGAATATTCCAAAGGCCAGGAAAATGAGCCAACCTTGAAATTCAGGCACAAGAGTTTGAATGAGTGAAATAGACGGGAAAATGTCATATTTACTTTTTATGTCCACTTATCCCATCACCAACCTTCTAAACAGTCAAATGAAACTGTTAAATCAGCTCCTTGAAAGCCCTTGAAGAACTTGAACCCAAAGAACCAAGCAGTTGGGTGTGGGGGCTTGCAGAGACTGACTCCATCACATAGGCAATTTAATGCAAGAGTTGTTGGACTTGAGTTGTATGAGCTCTGTTCACAAGTCCATGTGAGAGAAAGACAACAGCATACTCTTAAAGTAATAGCTTATCAGTTGTGGAGTCCTAGCAAGAACCACTGGGCTGCTTGGCCATTCCTGGGCTTGGTCATAATTTGGGAGAAATGGATGGCCATGAAAAAGGGTCTTCAAGCCACTTATCCTGTACAGCTATGAGTTCCAAGGCTGTAATACAGAAAGACTCATTGTGCAGTCTGTGCTCAGAAATTGGGAATACATTTTCTGAATACAGACCCATCTTTTCTGTTCTTCATATACATGGCATGTGTATCCCATTGGGCAGCGTTAATGTTGCTCTGCTGGTACCTGCTGTGCTGCAGAGCCACATGTCACTGGAGATCAAAGTGTAAGATAGGCAAAACAGAGAATACTGGTGCAAATGTAAGAAAAGTAAATTGACCTTTCAAATCTCAGTCACTACTGAAAAGAGCATAGTATTTCTGAGTTCATGTATTTTGCTCTGCTCTTCGATTGCAGTTCACTTTTCTAACTTGTGCAAGAGTCCTGGAAGCCTTCATAGGGGAGTAACAAAGCACAGAAGTCTGTTTGCCTTCAATTTTTGCTTTCTTGGTGTGTCTTTTTACAAGGATGAATTGGAAAGCAAAATTGTATGGATTACTCTAGTGAGAACAACATGTAACTTTTAGATGCTAGGACTGAAGAATGAAAAAGCTGATTGTTTCATAATGGGTTTTAGCTTGGCATAGTGCTTCTAAATGAAAGTCTAAGCTTTTTAAAATATTTTCAGGTATGTGTACACTCCAATTATTCTGATTTTTAATTGCTGAAAGTACTGCTCTCCGAAAGAGAGACAGCATGAGTTTTTCTCATTACTTCAGTCCTCAGAGCTGATGTTGCTAGTCACTGTGTTGAGTTTACTTCTTTGCAACTGTAACTAAAGGAAGTTCCAAACTGGAAAAACAGTGCTGTTCTGACATATTTTTAAATGCACGGAAGCTGCTTAAACCTGTACTTGGAGTTTCTATGATGCTGCACCTCTCTCATTGAAATTGTAGACTTAGGCTTCTTTCTTTTCCTCTTTTATTTTATTCCCAGGAAGAAAACAATGCTGCAGACTTGTGGGGGTCTGCCTTTTAAAGCCAAATATTTAGGGGAGATTCTTTTCTCCTGGGGCAGGAGGTGTGAGGATGTTAGTGTTTGGGGGAGGGTAGATGTAAAAGTATGGGAGAAAGGGAATAGGAGTTTCTCTTTTCTCTGTTTCTCTATATTTAGACCACCCACCAATCTTTTTTTATTCCGTGTGTTCCCTTGTCACTCAGCAGGAAAAATGCTACCTCCATAGCAGAATCAAAAGCTGAGGAGGTCTCCAGCTGTGAAGAGAGCCTCTCAGGGTCAACAGAAGAGGAGTTGTGTCAGAGTTGCTGTTTTCTCGATGATTTTATTCAGCATGGGAAGGGGGAGGGAGGGTTCCTCTCAGTCTGGTCAGCTGGATGGGAGCATCTGTGTTCTTCAGGTTCATCCAGGATTCCCTTATGCTTTTGCATACCAGGTGGTTGCTGCTGGTAAATATTTGTGCTCCAACTCATGCTCAGAAACAATCATCTATAACAGACCTCTATTTTGATCAGAGCAGATTCTTAAGGCATCACTTGACCTAGTAAATCCCTGAGTTTGCTAATTCATTTGGCACATGAGCACAAACACCTGAAGCTTTGTTTGCAGGTTGTTTATCAGTAGAGTACAAATTCCAAAACAAAGGCCAGAAATCCTGAGAGAGAGAACAGAAAAGCCCAAGAAACATTTCAGGACTCTGCATAGTTTTTCTTCTGTCTCTGATAATGTCTGTATGGCACATGTAAACATGATACTGAAGTTTTACAATGAAATGCAATTTAAAGCATATCTTGACTCTCTTGCTCCTGTGTGGCATTTGCTTTGAATGGGATTTACTGAATGTGTGTTTCTTTCCTCCCCAGGAGAATTGAATGCTTGTGTCTGCTCTTCAGCTGCTGCTTCTTGCTTTCATTTTCAATATTGCTTTTGATAAGATTAAAAGGATAGTATTTTGGAAAAATCTGGGCTGATGTGATGAGTTTTTCCCTGTGTATTTTTTCCCTTTTTAATGTCTTTCTTTGGGAGGTTAGGTCACTTTGTGCTTGGTGAAAAATTTTGAAGTCCCTGCTGGTGTGGTCCTTTTCCTCTCCTCCCCTTACTGCTCTACCTCTGCAGGATTAATTTGTGCTTGAGTATGTGCTTGCTAGTGTTATTTTTGGTATTGACATTTATTGGCCTGCACACAAGTACTAAGTGGTGAATTACAATGCATTTAATCCTGTGATATATTCAATATCATTCACATTAATATCAGATTAGTTGTTCTACTATTAATATTATTACATTGTATGTTACAAAGTGGTGAATCACCCTTAAATCATCCTTTATTTAGTTACAGGAGTTTTTCCCCTCCTTACAAAGCTCCAATTTATTTTGCATACAAGAATTCCACTAAATAATTAGAGCAGAATCTTGAAGCCTCATAGAATGCCAGTTTTGAGAGGTGAGAGTTGCTTATATATGCTAAAAACTGTAATAAGTCATGATGAATAGAGATTTCACTATCAAATGTACAGAAAGCTACAAATCTGAACATTTTTATTGTAGTTGCTACTAGAAATTCTCAAAGACATATCTATATTTTTTAATCAATCAGAGTCTAATGGCAACACTGTAAGTTCAAATGTGGGCTGCCTTGGCTTAGATGAGAGGGCAATGTCTCTCTTCTGCCTGATTAGTAAGAAATATAACTCTGTTTTCACTTCAAGAAAGAAGGGCCAGTTCTGAGTACCTGAAAAAATTCCAGGAGAGTGGAGACAATACATTCCACTCAGAAGCTGCTGGCCTGCACACCAAGGCTAGCACAGCAGCTTGCTTGTGCTTCAGTGCAGGGTGGGATGCTGACTCTGCTGTTTAGGCCTGAGCTGCTAGCAGCTTGTTGCAATTCAGTGTTGAGATAAAGGTATCAGTGAGAGTAATTAGGGACAGTAGAAACCATAACACACAAAACTGTAGGCAATAAAATGTCGCTTCTGGCAACTACTTATATTTCATAATTTTTCCCAAGTAGTTACCTAAGTGCTTTCCTTCACAAGAGTGGTGAATAGGTTCCTCTTCCTAAAGGTACTTGGCCTATCCTTTTCAGAAATGTGCATTTTTTTTTCTTTGTATTTCCTTCTTTATATACTTTTACTTGACTACTTTATTGATTCACCTATCCTGTATTGATACACCTATCCAGTGTATTGCTGGCAAGTCTCAGTGTGGCCAAACCTGAGCTTGTGTCGGAGTTAACCTTGCAGCACATCATCTCTTCAATCTACATGTTGCTGTATCAGCCTCAAACATTCACTCCAATGCCATCTGAAAAGATAATACAAGACAAGCCAGGTGAGAGTTTCTAGTGTGAGTCACAGTGAATAAAAAATAAAAAAACAACAAAAAAAACCAAATCAACAATGTGCAAATAAAGAAAGATAATAGAGTTTACTTTGTTCATCCTGCAGAAGCAGGGGAGAAACTTGCAGAACTGCTGTCAGACTGAAAATCATTCAGCTCTACTCCCCCCATCTGTGTGAAGAAAGAAACTTTCTTGTTGCTGATATAAATTAGGTACATGCTTGAATTATACCATTACATAAGAGGGGTAGCTGGTCCCTGTTGAAGATTTCTATGCCTCTTTTAGGTACTGCAGGGAGAAGACATGAAGTCAAGGTATTTCTGACAATTATAGGAAAAGATATTTGGAGTTTGACTTTTTTATTTGTGAATTGAAGTGAGGAACAGATTCACTGTGTTAATTGTCTAGCAACTCAAAATCGATGAACGATGATTTATTAAGTAACCTGTGTCACTGACTGATATGTTCAGCAGACAGGCAATTTGCTGTTGATAACTACTGGTAGAACACAAGGGATTTTGCTTCTGGATAGTCAAGGTCCTGGCGTGAAAGAGTTCTGTTTTGCAGTGCTTTAGCTCACAAAATGATGCTTGTGCTTGTTGCACAACAGTGGTGGAGTCACAACAAAACACAGGAATTTTTTATGTTGCTTAGACATGCAGTGTTCAAGGTTTTAGATTAATTAAATCATCAGGGACGTATTTGTCTGTGTTCCCCTGTTTCTCCTCTGTTTATTTCGATTTGCTGTGCAAAGTGTTCTGAAAGAGATTTTTTTTTTTTTTAACACAAAGTTGCTTTGCAGTTAAACACTTGAAACATTCTCATCTTACTGATGGAGTAATTTTGTTTTCCCATGCTGGTTTTGCCATTCAGGGCTTTAAAGATGCTGTTATGCTTTCTCACAGGGCTCACTTGGAGGCCAGTGCAGAGAAATGGAACAGATTGCTGACATCCCTGGAAGAGTTAATCAAATGGCTGAATGCAAAAGATGAGGAACTGAAAAAACAAATGCCTGTTGGAGGGGATGTTCCAACCTTACAGCAGCAGTATGACCACTGCAGAGTAAGTTGCTTAAGTTTTATGGATATGCTACTGTGAATTACAGAATGAAGCAAATATTTGTACAGGGAAATGATGAATGCTTCCTAATGACTAATTTCTATAAAAAAGCTCTAGGTCTCCACCCATTTTTCTTACACGCCTTGCCCAGTAAAGTGCAACTAAGATATGCTATAAAATTTTATCTAAAGAATTTTTGAGACATATGTTCAGTCTAAACACTTTTTTTCTTTACTGCTCTTTGATATTTTTGGAATCCTGATGGGTGAAACTGTAATTTTACTCTAAAAGTTAGGGAAGGTATGCAAAAGTAGGCAGTGACCAAGAATCATGAAAGCAAAGATTAATGTAAATTCAGTAAAATTGTGAACAGTGCCTTTCTACATGTTACTAAACTCACCAGTGATAGAAGCCTCCTACCCATGCACATTTACACTGCAAAGATGACTCAAAACTATTTTAAAGAACTCAAATTTTTCTGTGCCTTGTACTGTTGTAACTGTAGCACGCTGTTCTAGTTTTCTGGTTTTGCTTGTCCTGTTCTGGTTGGTACATGATAGACTATTAATTCCTAATTAGTTCTTGACAATAAAAAAGTGACTTGCATCTGCATTTCTTCATTCATGCATGTAGAGTCTATCTTGCCATCTCTGATCGGTAATCAAGGGAAGATGGTTTTGCCATTGGAAAAATTCAATCTAGTAAATTGGTTCCATCTCATTTGTTGATCTGTATGGTATAAACAGGGAAAGAGCACAATGCAGCTTTATATAGTTAATTGCATGATAAATATGTTCCCCTCTGCCAACTACACTGGTGTCTTTTCTGCTGTGGTGGTTGGTGAAGGCAAAATTTGAGTTTGGAAAAACTTACTAATACAGAAATACTTGGAATACTGTGGGGAAGTACAGAAAATGTAGTTTGTCATGAGCAGCACTTTTGCATCTTCACTCCAAAATAGAAGTGCTTAAGGAAATCTGCATACATTTCTTCTTAATTTAGTAGTTTAAAGTAAATTTATTAGCATAAACTCAGGAACTTTGTTTCTTGAGAGTTCATCTCTTCCTAATGCACTTAAAGCATTGTGCTCTGTTTGTAGGCACATCTGCTTTGATTCTTTTTATAATGATCAAATGCTGGATTACTAGTGCCAAAGAGCAATAAAAGGCTGAAACAGAGCCAAGTATGATTTTGAAGGAGGTCATTGGAAGGTGGTGGACGTCTACAGGTCGTTTTCTAAAGGCTTGTTTGTGCCTTGTGTAGATTACAGTATGTGCATGATAGTAAGTGCCTCTCATCTGAAGAATGCAAATTGATTAATAAAACTGGGGCTTTATTCTGAAGTGGAAAAGTTTAGTAGTAATGGTGCTGGATGGTTCATTTGGAGCACTAGTGAACTGCAACAGTATGAAGGAGAGAGCACCTCTGGGTTGTTTAATCCTTGCCCTTATGTTTAAAGAATAACTGACATTTTGTTATGTGTCAAGGTTAAAACTCTACTGAGTGCATTCGGGAGCTTTTGGAGATTATTCTTTCATTTTTCAAAAAGGCAATTTTCTTGCAATGTCATAGTGAGTATTGGATATAGTTGCCTGAGTCAAGTATTTAATATGAACTGCATTAATGGTCTGCAGCAGCATGAAGTTAAAGCAACCCTGAGTATCACTTTATTTTTTTATATACCTGTGCCAGCAAAAGCACTTTATACGCTTGCAGATATTTCTTAGATGATGTCTGGATTACTATTTCCAAACAGTTATTTTGTTAGGGGGAATCAGGAGACTCCCATATATTTTGTAATGATACTGTGCTATACCAAATACCAATTATTAGCAGGCAGCATTTCACATTCTGTTGAAGTTTTGCTCATTAGCTACTGCCAGAGGAGGGGAGCTGAACCACAACTGTCTGTTGGGTTGATTCTCATGGCAATGCTTCACTGTTTCTAAGCAGGAGCTGTTCATTCCTTGCTGAAGCTGCAGTTGATCAAGCTGAGAAGTTGTGTTTTTTTCAGATAGGAAGTGAAAACTGAAGGGAAAAAAAAAAACAAACAACAAAAAGCCAACAAAACAAATGCCCAAACCTGTTAAAAGTCCTTCTGATTTCTCAGCAAGGTCAAATGATTGATTGGTATGTTTAGGATGCTGGATGAAGTGTCCTTGGTTGAGGAGCACAAGTTTTATTCCTATGATATTTTTTTTCTTTTCAAATTAATATGCCAAAACTGCCCATTCAGTGGATTTTTTGTCAACTTTATGTAATTCCATGTTGTTGGTTACTCTGTGCCTTGTAGCGTGCGTAATTCTGGCTGGTGTCATTTGCTTTGCCTTTAAGGTGTTACATTTAGAATATCCTGTTAAGCTGGGAGTTTTCAGTGTTTCAGGTTTGAGGTGTAACTGTGTCAGATGAATATTGCAGAGATATGACTTGATTTCTCTAGTTCCAAAGGATAGTCCCTTTATTCCACTTCTCATCACCAGCTGTACTGGTACTTTTTAAAATGTTTCTTTACCCATGCTTCTTCAAGTGTTAAACCTCCTGAACATTTCATTTTTAAGATTTACTTTTGATCAAAGGGGTTTTTTTATGATCCCTTGTTGAATTTCTGCAGCACCACATCAGCTCACCTTGAAAAGGTTCTCCCAGGTCTGTCTGTGTGTCTCTGCTCTCCTCTTTCCTTTAGTTTCATACCTGAGTGTAGATTTTAAGTTGTCTTCATGCAAATTGAGCAGTTCAATACCTCACTTTGTCTCCACTACACTGTGACCCATTTTCTCCAATTTTCAGCTTGCTTGCCTGATCTTGTCCTTCCTGGCACTTCAAAATGTAAGTGGTAAAATAGTGGCTCAGCTCTGTAAGATGTGCCCTCATGACAATCCCATATCCTTTCCTTTATGTTTCTGAGTTCTGTTGTATTAGCATTATTTTTTGCCTCTAGTTACTCAATAATTCTTGTTTTTATTAACCTACTTTTTTTCCCCCTCAGGTAGAGGGGATGAATTCTTTGCTTCAACTTAATGGCATTATTTTATAGACCTCTGTTAGTATCTCCCTCCCTCAGTGCTTGGCTTCAGCAGTGCCAGATAGATAAGTACAGTATTATGTGACAGTTGGGTTGGCTCACATTGTTTGGGTGCTACTGAGGTGTTTTTGGACAGGAGGAAATAACTGGTTTTCTGTTTGATTTTTAAACTTGTTTTTGTTTTAGATATCTCTCATTCTTCTGTGTTTTAAAAGCAAACATTACACAGAGCACTGTTAGTAGGTTGAATTGGGGCTACAGATTTAGTCTATATTTCCCAGGTTAACAGAAATCTTTCAGGATGTGGCAAATGTTTATAATTTTTTGACTCTTTTTTTGTGTTGTTCAGCCAAACTTCCATCGGCTAGAAGTTCATCACATACTAAATGCTCAGTCTATCAATGAGCACATCCAGTCTGGGTGTTTAGTGTTGCTCTGTGCATTGCAGGGGGCAGGACAAGAGGAAACTTAAACAATGGTGCATGAATTTCCTATTTTGATTACTCTCAAAATTTCTTCGTCTTTAGAAGAGGGGTTGTGGAGCAAGAAATCCCAAGAATACTGGAAAATTTGGGACACTGAGAAGAAGTTTAAAAGTATGTGAACTAAAAAGTTGTTCATATCGAGTGTACTTATAGCTGAGTCTACATTCACACTCCAGAAGTGTGGAACACAGGAAACAGTTTATAGGGAAAAGAAACCGAAGGCACTTACCTTTTCAGAGTTTGCCATTTTTTCATCCAAAATTTTACTTTCTCACTGTTGCTAGTTCTTAGCAGCTTGTGTTTCCTTTTCATTCTGTTCTTTACCAGTGTTCCATATTAATATTTATTTAGGATTTTAATGTGTGTGATGCAAAATTTGATCAGCTGCATAGACCAGCAACAAAACCCCACACCAACTCACCAAAACAAAAAAACACCAACACCACCACCCTAAACCTGTTCCTCCCAGCCTCTATCCCTTGAAAATCCACCTCTACGTGCATATTTTAGTATATCAGAAAAGAAAATCTGCCAAAATACCATGAAAAATCGGTGGGCTGGTTTTGTGCATGTAGAAGTACCTAGAGTCAGACATGTGTACAAGAGGAGGCAGCACAGATACTGAAACCTTGTTCTTTGGAGATGCCCTGAGATCTTTATGTATCTCACTTTTCCACTGGAAGAGTTTCTTCCAGTGGAAGAAACTCAGTGAAAGTGTGCTTTTGCTAAAATACAAAGACTCCCTAATAGCTATAAATCACTGTGGTTTAGATTCCAGAGAGAGAACCAGGACATTTCAAATTAAGCAGAAATGGGTATCCTCTTGCATAAATCCTGTTGGCATGTGTCTGCATAAATGAACAAGTGTCTAGCTAATGCTAAATAATGCATGCATCTTGGATCAAAGAGATGCTTAACTTAGCTTCATTTCAGCTCAGAATGAATTGGCAAAGGACCTGGGAATGTTTGATTGATAATTTTATATCTATGGATAGGTCATTAATATTTTAGATACTCTTCAAACTTTTTGGGGTTGCTATCTATGTATTTAATGCTCCAGACTTGTTTTGTTAAAGTAATCAGGTAATGAAGGTTGTAGTATTTCAGTCTGTTTTACTCAGCTGTTTTCACTTAATGAAAGGTGTAGCATAGCCAACTGGAAACTGCTTTCTGTGTGTTGTTATCCCTTCAGGGTGCCTGTAATTCTGTTATTCTCTTAAACAGTGGGAGAAGTCTGTGAGGAAAAAATCTATTTCTAGCCTTAAACTTTTCTTCACTGTTTCAGTTTGTCTGTCTGACTTTGGGCAATGGGCTTATTCTTAAATTAATTCCTACTTAATTATTCTAGATTTGTTTTTCTGGTATATTTTCTATATTAAAATTTGCTTCCATGTTAGGAATTATTAAATCTAAGAATGAAAAGAGAAACATTAAAGTATTGTATATAAGTATATTTAGGCTATGCTCTTATAGTCTAGAAAAAGCTTTATTAATTG